TAGTGACATCATGTTCGCTGGCACCTTCGTCTAGCGAACTTTGCCCCCTTTCGCCCCTGTTTTCGTTTGCTGGAGAGTTTGCCTAGCGAACTTCTGTTTGTTTTTTCTAGGCAGCTTCGCTACAAGGTTCGCCTAGCGAACTTTGCCCCCTTTTGCCTCTGTTTGCGTTCGCTGGGAAGTTCACCTAGCGAACTTCTTGCTATTTCTGGGCAGCTTCGCTACAGCCTTTGCCTAGCGAACTTCCCTTAGTTTTTCTTATTTTTTCCCAAAAGTTTCATGTCGTTTGTTTTCCTGTTGTGTGTTGTTTCAGGTCGACTGACCCGATGTGGTTGCACGACCTTTGTATGCGGATGTTTGTGGTCATTTTTGACTTTTGGCTTTAAAAATATTTTCAAAAATAAACTCTCGATTTTATCAAGCCATTTTCACCCTTGTAAGTCGACCGCCTTGTGCGTTCGCCATCGACCTTGTTCGCATCACTTCAAACATTTTTACAAACAATAAAACCCTTGATCCAACATCAAGTGGTATTTTTCTCATAAAAATCCGAAAAAAACAATAAAGATACAATTGTAGTCATACACCATAAACTTTAAAGTGGTGGAGAAGGAATGAGAATGGAACCCTCCTACACTTGTTCCGAATGTTTTGAATACAAGGCGCTCGATTTGGTTATTCGAAACGTTCATCTCTATCCAAAGTTTTTAGTGTGATCCTAATTAAGAACAATCTCTTCTCAAAACCTAAAAATAACATCAACTCATCAAACTTCTTTTCGCCTTAGGGCATCAATTCGAAAACCTTTTTTCAAGGTATAAAATCAACCAACAAACAACAATCTCACAAGCCTCCGAACTACGGAGCTCTGATTCTTCACTTCTTTTAAGTGAGGATACGTATGCACAAGGGGCACAATCCTTGGCGAGCACTCTAATAAAAAAACCAACCCCTCCTTTCTTTTAAGCAAGCAAATTTTAATAAAAACACTCATTCAAGCGAAACAACCTAGAAGGTTCCCATCGAGTACGATGGATGTGAGGGGGTGCTCATACCTTCCCCTTGCATAACCTACTCCTGAACCCTAAGAATTGGTTGCGATGACCATACTCTTTTCCTAAAGGTTTTATCGTTATTTCTCTTTCCCTCCTTGGGATAAATAAATTTTGGTGGCGACTCTGTGTCATTTTTCGCGTAGCGACACCCATCACTTGATATCTTCTCTAGAACATCATGATGATGATGAGTGTTCCAAGCCGATCAAACGACCCAATAGAATTGGCCTAACAAGATTGGCCCAATCAGAGCCGGCCTAACATCAATGCCATGAATTTTTATGCACACCAAGATGAAACAACAAAAGATGATAACCATGACCTTCAGGCTTAGGCAAAGATGAAAATCCTTCGAAAAATTCCACATGGGGAATTCGAAGTCAGCAACTCGATGAAAATCTAGCCAAGATGTTAGAATTAACTCAATCTTGGAGAATTCCAAACCAATCTTGATGAATAAGATTCAATCAACCGAACGAATTTCTCTCTTGTTCTTCACTTTTCACTCGAGTGAATCCATCACACCTTGATTTCAAGAATGATTATGTGCAGCAATTATTAATGGAAGAAGAAAGAAAACTTGAATTGGGAAGAAAAGGGAATTAAAGTTTGAACCAAATATGGAAGAAGAGAATTTCTACATAGTTTCTCTCTATTATTCAAAACTGAATATTATTCTTTGCAACTGAAAATTGTTGTACAATAATAAGGGTTACTCCTTATTTATAAATTTTGGGTTTGTTTGCTCCCTAAGCAAAACCTAAAATACCTAATTTTGCTAACACTACAAAATTAGGCCTAAGTCAAAATTCAGGTTGAGGCTAACTCCTTCGAAACTTCGACAACTACACAACTCAGACACACTAGATTATTTCGACACTACCTTGTTTCTGTCGAACAACCTGCTTCGACACAAGGAATTATATACTCAACAAACGGTGAAAATAGGAGTCGGTCTACCAGCCTCAATAAATGAAACTTCATCAATGTGGCTTTATATGCTTAACAAGTATAATGGATTTTAATGATGACAAATGAATCCTAGGAAAAAAATCACGAGCATCATCGAGTAAGAAAAAGATTGAATAAATTTAAAAGTGAAAAGGTTTTGATGTTTGACGCAAGAGAATCAATTTTTGAGATTAACATCGAAAGAATTTGAAGATGTGAAAGCTTGCTTGATTTTGCACTTAAGTGTTTTAGTCTTTCTGATCAATTATATATAAAATAAGTAAGAGCAAGTCTTTAATTACTAAGGTAGCGTACACACTCACTTAAAGTGATTTACAAAACTTCATCTTTTGTTAAAACATTCTTAAAATTGGTTTTGGCCAATGTCTGATCGATTATGGATAGTACTTAATTGTTTACACATCAAAAGTAATAAGCTATGGAGCGAAAATCACTCTATAATAAATTAAGAAAATTACTTAATTGATTAGGGAACTGTTCCATCATATATTTCCTTTTTTTATTAGATCAAGTTAATCATGAAGGTTGTTTCATCCATTAAAATGATTGTCTAATTGAATAGAAAGTGGATCCGACCCAAAAACCTTTCCTTTTTTGGTCAAACTTTTCTTATATAAATAAACGTTTTGCTCACTTTTAAAGCATAAATTTTATGAAATATTTATTCTCTTATCTCACTTATTATCCTTTTGCTATCAGTTCTATTCACTAAAAATCGCCTTAGTGATGCGAGAGTGGAAAAGCTTAACCTAATGTGTTTTTATGATGTTGTGTTGAATATGTTTATTCAAGAGCTTAGTCATCTGATGCTTTTATAATAGACTTGAAAGTTACAAGTTAATCCTTTATAAAGCTTATTTTAAGGTTGTTAGGTTGCACTCATGGAAGACGGTTTTAATTGTGACACTAAATTACTCCAACGTACTATTCCCTACATACTTACAAGTTTCACCTCTTGGAAATACCTTCTTCCTCCAATTAACCACCAGAAATATCCATGGTCATGTCAAAGGTCTTCCACAATGGACATCACCAACTTACTACTTTTTTTTCCCGCTTTAGAATGACCACCAATTTTACAACCCAACACTATAAAAGCAACTTTTTTCTATAAAATAGGAATACAATTTCTCGAAAGCTAAACTAAAACTTAATTTAATAGTTTCAATACAAATCCATTTAAGTATATAATTATGTAATGTAAACTTTGGTTATTTACTAAAATATAATTTTAGATTATTATTAATGGTGTCAAATATATACATTTCATAAATTTAAATATGTTTCGATTTTCCCAAATTTTCTCAATTTTTGTTTTCTATAACAGGTTATATATTCTCAAACAAGTTTTATAGTGAATTTGAAAATATGTTTTCGAATGCACTTTAAATATTTAAAAATAATACGAACAAATTTATTATTCGTCCTAATTTCACAAAATGAAATAAGGTGTCTTTAGAAGTACTATCTCTAGAATATCTTCTGAGACGAGATTAGATTTCTAAAATTCATATTAATCTAAAAATTGTATAAATATGTGTTTCCAAACTCATCTTTTTAACAAAATGACATCACACCAGAATGAGCATATACTAGCATGTCGCGTTTGTCTACTTGAATGGCACGAAGACCTCATTTGAATTTAAGGTCACAGAATACACATGTCTTGTAGATCTGAAATCTATATTGGAGAATCTCCTACAATACTCAGATAATCGAAGAATTGTAACTCGAGTACCGTTCACCTTCGATTGACAACGAAGAAAAAATTCAGCTCAGCAAAGTTTGAGCTGAAGGCAGATAGAGATTTAAGAGTTATGTAAAATATATTTCACTGTTACAAAACAAAAGTTCTGATTGAGTTAGATGCGAAGATGGTAAGATCGATCAAAATTATTCTATAGATATTTAAACATCCAACTTGATCATGAAATATATTATTTAATTTACATTAATAATTATCTATGTAATACTTCATTTCTTATGTATGTCATAAGAGTTATCGATGTTAATTTATTTCTGTTTCCCCATCTATTTTATTTCTACATTTGTTCTGCTTCAATGTTAATTTATCTCTATTTCCACATCTATTTTATTTCTACATTTATTCTTGCTTTATTTTTACATTTATTCTAGCTTCAGTAGATTCCAAAATTACACTTTCATGAAATATACGAAAATCCATTTCCGGAGCTCAATAAAGAATTGATTGTGTACATCTAATGCATCTGAAAGTATATTTTCGAATTTCAAATATGTTTTGATTTTTTACTAAAGTGGTCGGTAAGAAAAGCAATCTCCAAAATTTAGCTTAGGCCAGACTTTTGGCCTTGCAAGATTTGGTGTGCCTTATTTCCACCCCTACACGTTAATTAAACCTACTTATTAATTTAATAGGAACTATTAATCACTTGTGTCCAGCACCTGTGTTTCTTACACTAATTTTTGTAACCCCTTCTGTTCTCAACAATTACGTGAATTACACATCCAATCCAATTATCACAGCATTCATAGAAGAGAAATAAAAATTTAAAAAATAAATGACTTTGATTTATTAAAAATGGCCATGATCTTTTCGATAGCAAAAAAAAACCTGTACCTACAGTATGATTCATTCTGAGTATAAAACAAATCAGACTTTAATTCTTTTCATTAATGTTATACGATCATCATCTGGTGATGTATCATTAAGCTTATAAAGCAAATCACAAAAAACAAACTATATCTTGCAAAGTTGATAAATCTGAACCCTGTAAATTACAGCAAACCCATAAAATTGATAAAATGAAAAATGGGGACAGTTATAATTTCTCATCACTTAACTATGTATTCTAGAATTGGGGTGCGCATATTTAAGTGCACCCATAGGAAACAATTCAAGAAAAAATGGGATTTTGATATATATTTTTAAAACACTGACATGATAATAGAATGAAAAATAAATATGCAACACTATGAGGCAAACACCAAAAACTATCAAAATTGGCCCTTCCGTTTCCGACCTGTGTATTTTGTATCTTGAGGAACTTCCTTTCCTCTTCTTCTCCTCTGATCCTTCTTCCTCAGTATCCATTCCCTTCCCTTGCCGCTCTTATTCTTTTTCTGTCTCTTCAAGTGTCTATGTCTGTCTAAGTTACACACCTGCAGTATTTTTTAAACTAACTATGAGCTTGTGTCGTGTAACAAAAAGAAAGGACTGCATACATAAGCAAATCTGAAATAATGTGTTTTCTAAATTTGAAATGATTTTGAAGGATGAAATTTTAAAATCATTCATCATTCCTATTAGAAATCCCTGAATTGAATACATGAATGTGGTGAGACTTACTGTCTGATTTTCTTCATCATCGCTCTCACTATCATCATTGGATAACTGATTTTCATCTTCATTTTTACCTTGGGACAAGGATGCATTCGATGATAGTTGACCACAAGCGAGAACAAGAAACTCTTTTCTCTTCTTAGAACTAACATAAGACAGTTGTTCTCAAAGTTAGTGAAAAACCATGCTCAAAGAAGGTTGTACAACAATTATCTTTAAAAAAAATCAATGTTAAAAACCCAAATAGAACAAAACACAAATACATAATACTGAACTATCATAAATTTTCTTTTAGACGTGTTACATAAAGTAAAGGTGGGAGATACGAACAATGCAACAATGTATGTCCAGATACATTGTACATTCCCAATCTGTCTTTGTCCCATCTTTCATTTCAACGTGCGCTAATATGATTCACTTTTTCAGGTAAGAATGAAAAAGTATACAGTTTTAAGATGATTCAGTAAGACATTTAATATATTTCAGCTGGTTCTCACCTATGAAGCCAATACACCTGATTGATACAAGCACAATACAGCAGATATGGAAAATTTGTAAAAGGTTGATGAACGGCATGGAGAATACCCAAGTTACATTAGCCCCAGTAGTATTGCAAAATTTATACATACCTATGTGGATAATCCACCACTATGCCACCAGCAAACCCAGCATGCATTGCAGCATTCATAATCAATTCACGCTGGTCATTATTTTCAGGATACACTTGAAAAACAGCTTTAGCGCCATTGGACAAACATTTGTATAAAGATGTAAAGAAAGCCCTGCAAAAGAATATATAAGTTACGTGATAATGTAGTGTGCGTATAAGTGAAAATTTCCAGCAAAATCCAATCTTAACATAGATGGTAAGTTGGAGAGATGTGGAAAAAGGCTGCAAGTTACTGTATGCTAGGAGTTTGAAGAGATTCAAGAAACATTGATACTGAAACAACTAAAAGTGGTATTATAAATAGAGGAACATACTTCAATCTTAATCGAGGGTTGTGAGATGATCTATCAGCATTACATAACCACTGCATTATCATAAAGGATCGCCAAAATTAGTAAAGAAAATGAGACACACACACACAATGAAATTCAGTAGAAATACATGACTTAATCACACCCGGTTTAAAATAAGGAAATAGGTTGTTAGTCATCACAACTAAATTATAACACCAAAAGTTTTCTTTGTAACTTTAAACTTGAGAGACTATAACTGAGTATCATTCCTTCCATCCATCCTATAGCCTGACAAAGTATGATTTTCTTAGATATCGAAAGCACACCTGAACGGCAGATATACTGATAGCCCCGTCAATAACTCCCGGACGAAACCCTAAACCCTGAAACCAGATACATTGTAAGAAAAAACCGTAAGGCATCGATGTTAATTTTATTACATATGAAGAAGCTAAGAATTGCACGGGAACTTCAAGAGAGAAATCACATCACAGTATCAAACTATCAATAACACACAAAAGGAAATTGAGAGAGTATTTGAAGCATAATAGCATTGAACTGACTTGAACAACAACAACAACAACTACAACAACAAAAACAACAACATAAATTCTGAAATTAGGTGAATATCATACTTGACCCATGTCATTGAGTAATAGGTCACCCTCAACCTCTCGCTCCAATGCAATGTCTACAAGTTACCAATTTTAAAAATAGAATTACAAAAAATGAAAAAATAAATATGAACGACATTACTTCCATAAAAAATAATAGAGAAAAAAGAAACCATACTAAGCATTGAAGGCGAAATATCGAGACCAATCCAATGATGACCCTCCTCGGAGAGTGTCTCACCGCTGAGTCCCGATCCACAACCTACACAAAAACATAATTCACAAATCACGTAACGAATGAATGAATGAGAAAGATTGAAAATGAATGAAAAAATTAATTGAAAATATACCAATGTCAAGAAGCAATTTGGGAACACCATCTTCAGGCAAAGCAAGTAGCTCCAAAGCTCGCTCTGATAGTGAGGCCTATTTCGTTAATTAACAAAATCAGAATTGAATTAGTTCAAAGAGAAAGGAACAAAAATTGAAATTGAAACCGAGAAGAAGAGGGAAAACCTTACCTGAATTTCAATAATACGGGAAGAAGAAGTGTACTTGCGAGCTTCGGTATCGTCGTAGAAAATCTCCGGCGGTGCTACTCGCTCCGGTCTCGACGCCATTGCGAAACCCTAAAACGCTAAAACCCTAAACCTGCAGTCCGTCACTACCACTCTGTTGAATTGTTACCCGACAAGAATACTCCACGTTTCTTCTATTTTAGCGACAGTGTTATTCACCGTTTGATTTGAGTGTTTCTAAATCTAAGGGTGTGATTTTTGTTTTAAGATTATCATTAGTATTTTTAGCAAAAGTGAATTAAGTATGAATTTAAATGGTATACACCAACTCAATCGTGACCGTTAAATTTTTATTATAATTTGATTTTGATTATAATTATTTATATAATAATATTTATGAATAATTATGATGCATTAATTGTATAAAAAATTTTACACTAAAAATGCATAACAATTAATCTCATTAAACGTTTATAGAAATTGCTTTTAGATATCATTTAATTTAAAAAATAAAATTTAATCACAATTTTCTATTTTTAAATTTTTCATGTTTTTCTAATATAGAGAAATTATTAAATAAAAAATGAAAGTTAGTCTTTATAAAAAAATTTAAAAGCACAAATAGACACTATTCCACCAATGTCATTATAAAAGAAAAAATTAAATTGAATAATTTATTTGTATATGTGTTTCTCTTTAAAAATATAATATATTTTTAATCTAAAAATATATATAGTGTGTAAAGTATTCTTTAATTTAATTATAAATATAAATATATATATATATATATATATATATATATATATATATATATATATATATATATATATATATATATATATATATATATATATATATATATATATATATATATATATATATATATATATATATATATATATATATATATATATATATATATATATATATATATATATAAATATTCGTATTAGAAAAATGTACAAATGGTTAGCATTGAGCCAATTTCAAGTCAAAAGATTTATCCAATTCTTTTTGTTAGCATATTCGATAACAAACATGATTCCATGCTCCAGCTTGAAAGAATGTGCAAACTTTAATCTTAGTTGAGAAAGATTCTTAAAATTTTCATAAATTATCCTAGAATATTGTCACCACAAGTTGATTTTTCAAGGTTTTCTCTTGAAGTTTCAATTGTGTTGCACTTGATCCGAATATAACTAATAAAACACCATTTAACTTGTATGATTCTAGGTGCAGAAGGAGATGAGTATTCGATGTCAAAATATTTATTAATTGTAAACTCATGAATTGAAAAGTACACGTGTATGGTGAAAGAAGTATATGTCATATAGATCAATTGTTTAACATGAAGAATGTCTATATCAAAGTCAATTTTACCATTCTGAAACTTAATATCATTTTTTGTGAACCAAGTTTTCTAAAGAATTATTATGATCATAGTCATTATTAGATTTTGAATTTGTTGTGAAAAACGATGCCTTGAAACAAGTATAAACGGTTTCTTTATCGGCAAAAACACACAAGGGTTAGAGTTAATGAAAAACAAGAAGAACAACAAGGATTTATTATAACTGGTATTCTTTACTTTTATCTTTAAATCAGATTACAAGTACTCAAGAATAACAAATAACTCTCTCACCCTAATTAGGATTTTCCACACTTAAGATGAGAGACTAGTATGTTATTTATAATAAAATCTAACATACTAAACTAATAGGCTTTTTAACAATTACCAATTACAAGCTAACATAAATAGTTAGACATAATAAACAAGCCCAAGTCGACATGCTAACAAAATCTAGCATTTCTGACAACTGCATGTTTGACCCTCCTTTGACTACAACATACACTACTTCAACAACAGCATGTGAACGGCCTTCGAATGCATACTAAACATTTGTCGAACCAAGAAGCTACCTTCGATCATACTAGAGTTCAATCCAATATCTCACAAATTTTCACCTTGGAACAAACTAGCTTTCTTCATGCAGCTTTATCAACTGCATACAATGGAAAAACTTGCAACTAGACAATGTCTTAGTGATCATATCAACAATGTTATGATCTGTTTCAGCACTTAGACTTCTCCACGCTCGATTACCCCTCTGACGAAATGCAACCTCACATCGATGTGCTTGGTTTGCTCATGATAGGTTGAATTCTTTGACATGTGTATTGCACTTTGACTATCACATTTAACAGTGATAACTCGACCTTGAAGTTTCATCTCCTTTGCAAATCCTTCAAGCCACAATACTTCCTTCACAACTTCAATTAGGACGATATATTCCGCTTCATTGGTTGATAAGGCAACAACCTTCTAAAGTGTTGCTTTTCAACTAATTGTTGTGTCAAACATAATGAACACGTATCCAAAAATATATTTTATGGAATCCATACAACCTGCATAATCAGAGTCGACATATCCTTTGATTGTTGTTTTACTATCTTTATCCAAGGTTCCACCATAAATTAGGACTCTGCTCAGATACTCATTTATGTACCTTAGAATCCACTTCAATGCTTGTGAGTGAGTCTTTCTAGGATTCACCATGTATTTGCTTACAAGACTTATTGCATATGCTATGTCGAGTCTAGTACAAACCATATCATACATCAGAGAACCCACTATATTAGCATATGGGATACTATTCATATGAGCTCTTTCGACATCAGTACTGAGACACTGATCTATACTCAGCTTGATTTGAGATTTTTTCAGAGCCACAACAGGCTTTAAATTCGACATACCAAACTCTTCGAGAATCAACTGTAGGTATGCCTCTTGAGATAAGCATATTTTCGACTGCTTTCTATCTCTTCGGATGTTAATCCTAAGAATTCTGGACATATCTCCTAGATCCTTCATGTCGAACTCCTTATCGAGTTCAACCTTTACCCTCGTTACATCTTCGACATTGTTTCTTTCTATTGGAATATTATCCATATAAAGCAACAAAATAAAAAATGAATTACCAGGTCGAAATCTGAAGTAAACACAGTGGTCAAACTGACTTCTAATGAAAATTATACGTGCCATGAACTTGTCGAATCTTCTATTCCATTATCTAGGATATTGTTTCAGTCCATATAAATATCTCTTCAGCTTGCACGCATAATCTTCCTCCCCCCATTTGACATATCCTTCAGGTTGCCTCATCAGAATTGTTTCATCTAGATCACCATACAAGAACACAATCTTCACACCCATCTGTTCTAGTTCAAGGTCGAAATGTGTCACCGTGGCAAGCAACATTCGAATGGATTTATGCTTGGAAATAGGGGAGAACACATCATTGAATTTGGCACATTCTTTCTGAGTGAAACCCCTAGCGACCAATCTTGCCTTGTATCTCTTGGACGCCACTCTTTCTATTCTTTCCTTTACTTTGAAAATCCACTTACAACTGATTAACCTGGCTCTAGCAGGTTTCTTGATTAGTTCTCAGGTGTTGTTATCATAAAGAGATTTCATCTAATCATCCATGGTTTTTCGCCATTCAATCTTATTTTCACTTCTCATAGCTTCCTTATATTTTTTATGCTCTTCATCTAGAACCTCACTTGTAGGAATTAAGGCATAAGCTATAAGGTCTGCATACCCAAGTCTCTGATGTGTCTTGATGGCTCTCATCGACCTATCTATTGATAATAGGTAGTCATCGACAGTTTCCTCAACTTCCTCAATATCTTCTGCTTCTTCTACGACTTCATCTAGGATACGTAATTCAACATCAACATGCTTCATCTCAACAGGAATCTCTCCTTGTTCCAGCTCTTTGTCAGCATCATCAATTTTCTTGAAGGTCATCTCAACTTCATTGAAAATTACATCTCAACTAGTGATACACCTCTTGTGACCTGGCTCTAGGCACCATAACCTATAAGCTTTGACTCCTTCAGGGTATCCCATGAACATGCATTTCAGAGCTCTAGGTACGACCTTGTCTTGCCTAATTTAAGCATAGGCCACACAGCCGAATACTCTCAATTTGTCGAGATCTGGTGAATGTCCCGACCAAACTTCTTCAAGCGTCTTCATATCTAACGCAATCGAATGACACATATTTATCAGATATGTTACTGTCGAAACAGCCTCCACCCAAAACATATTTTTTAACCCAACACTAGTCAACATGTATCTAACTCTTTCCAATATAGTTCAATTAAACCTTTCATCCAAACCATTTTGTTGTAGAGTACATGTAGTAGTTTTATGCCTTACAATACTTGAGGCAACACAAAAGTTGTCGAACACCTCATTGCAAAATTCAAGACCATTGTCGCTTCTCAACCTCTTGAGCTTTTAGCCAGTCTAATTTTCGACCAGAGTCTTCCAACCTTTGAAATTCTCAAAAGTTTCATCCTTATTCTTCTGGATGAATACCCATAACTGTCTGTAATAATCATTAACTATGGATAGAAAATACCTTGCGCCTGAATATGATGGACACCTCGCAGGCCCCCAAAGATCAGCATGGATGTAATAAAGGGATCCATGTGTTCTTTGTTTGCCTTTATTGAACTTCACTTTGCAAGATTTTCCAAGTACACAGGAGGGTTCACAAAATTTCAGTTTTTCGACTTTGTTTCCACCAAGCAGATTTTGTTTCACAAATTCGACTAGACCCCTTTCACTGGCATGGGTCAATCTCATGTGCCAAATTTATGTCTTCAACAAATGTTTCGTGGATGCATCATTTGTCGAACCACTTACAACTTCAGCCTCAAGGGCATACAAGCCTTATTTTTTCACACCTCTCAAGACTTTCTTCAACCCATTCATGACTCTTGGGATACTTTTCTCTCTTTGAAAAACATATCCCTTCTTGTCGAATTCCCCGTGAGAAAATAAATTTCTCTTTAAATCAGGTGCATACATGACTTCAGTCAATAACCTTATTGACTCATCATGGAGCTTGAATCTCACAGATCCAATACCTTCAATTTTTCAAGCTTTATTGTTTCCCAGCAGCACTGATCCACCATCTTGATCACATAGCTCCTCAAACAATTCCATGTTTGGAGTCATATGCCAAATTCAACCTGAATCTATAATACACTATTTTCTTGAGTCGCTGCTTGAAACCACAAAAACA